AATCCCTAATGAAGAATTGTAAAGTGCTTGGAATATGTTGGTGCTATACGCTGATTAGCCACAACACTACAACCATTGACAGGTAAAGTGAGTAACACTGATTATATTGTTACAATGGTACCTGTCGAGGGATGGGATATATTGGGTAGCATGTGAACAGTCAGTTCTTGAATTTAATGTGTTGGAAGCAGGAAAAAGAGGCAAGGAAAAAGGTCTGAGTGACTTTGACAAGGGCCAAATAGTGTTGGTCAGCCAAAAGGATCAGAGCAACAAGCTTTGTTGTGTGTTTCCAGCATGCAGTACCTTCCAAACGTGGTTCAAAGAAGGACAACCGGCGTCCGGCTCAGGGGCGCCCAAGGCTCATTGATGCTTATGCAAAGGCTAATCTGTCTTGTCTATTCACACAAAAGAGCTACTGTAACTCAGCTTTCTGAAAAACGCAATGTTGGCCATGATAGAAAGGTGCAAGAACCCACAGTGCATCACAGTTTGCTGCATATGGGGCTGCGTAGCCGCAGACCAGCTGGAGTGCCCACGATGTCTCCTGCCCACTTCTAAAAGGAGTCTTCAACAGGGGCATGAGCATTAGAACTGGACCATGTGGCAGTGGAAGAAGGTTGCCTGGTCTAATGAATCACATTTTTTTTTTAGATCAGGTGGATGGCCGGGTGCATGTGTGTCGATTACTGTAATGGACCGTTTTGCACACAAGAGGTTAAAAACCGTTTAGGCGATATTCCCCTTTCCAGATGCACCGACAGCTACTGTAAGCACCAATCTCCCAAACTGCAAACTACACGAATACTGGTAACAGCAGAACAGGAAAAGCCTACAATCAGCTTACACTACTGGCAATCAGCATACAATCCAATTCCCCCAATAACGAGACGAACCTTTGTTTTGAGGTCAAGCAGGAACAGACAGAGCTGTGGGTTTATTGTTCTTATATACACATTCTTACACATTAGTACCACTCACAGGGTTTTGGAAAACAACCAATAAACACGTACAATACACTCAGACACTCCCATACAAAATCCTCCCCTCTGCCTGTGATACAATTACCTTACACAATGGGTAATGTAATTATCACAGCCAGAGAAATACAGTTTTTCCACATTATTCATAACTTGAAAAGTATGCATCACATTTACATTTTCATAATCAGCATACTCCAAATACAAACATACCGGTATGTCAAAATCATCCAAATTGGTCCATTGGTTCAAAAGATAGATCGAAGTCCTTTGTGACCAAATGAAGCATGGCTTTTCTGCCCAAAACCAGTTCCACAGAGTCTTCTATCCTGGAGATAATTGGGAAGTAATCCAATTATCTCCAATGACAGAGGCAAAACTCCATTAACCACATGGCAGTAAAAAGACAGTAAAATACATAAAATTACATACTGTTACATTCATCACATAGAACATACACATTCTACCTATCCCCAGATAGCTTAGATCTGAGCGCACATTATTACCGGATGGCGCTCAGATCACATGCATAAAGTTCAATCGCCATGGAGCCAAAGTCTTTCCCATAGTCTTTCGGTATACGAATGGGCTCCATGGCTTAGCTATCTGGGGTAACACTGCTCACATAGGGAAAATAAAAGGTTTTTAATGCAGGGCCATAGTCCAGCGGCAAGAGGTGGGCAACCAGGCTCCTCCAGTGGCCAGTGGCGAGGTTGGTTCTGCCACAATTACATAGGGAAGAGGTGGCAGCAGGATGCACTATGGAAGAAGGCAGGCTGGCAGAGGCAGTGGTTATGCTCTTGGAAACCTTGGGTTCTGGAACTCATGTGGATGTTAAAGGGAAACTCCAGTGCCAGGAAAACAATCAGTTTTTCTGGCACTGCAGGTCTCCTCTCCCTCCCACCCCCCATCCTCTGATGTCCCTCGGCGGTGGTTTCTTCTCGCTGCTGCTCCTCCCAGTCTTTACTTCGGCCGGTGGGCGAGACTAATCCAGCCCACCGGCCTGTGAAGACTTAATGCGCATGCGCGGCAATGCCGCGCATGCGCATTAGAACTCCCCATTGGAAAGCATTGGACATGTTTTTCAATGCTTTCCTATGGGGAACTGAGCGACGCTGGAGGTCCTCACACAGCGTGAGGACGTCCAGCAACGCTCTAGCACAGGTTTTCTGTGCTATAGAGCAGGAAGTGCCCTCTAGTGGCTGTCTAGTAGACAGCCACTAGAGGTGGAGTTAACTCTGCAAGGTAATTATTGCAGTTTATAAAAAACTGCAATAATTACACTTGCGGGGTTAAGGGTAGTGGGAGTTGGCACCCAGACCACTCCAATGGGCAGAAGTGGTCTGGGTGCCTGGAGTGTCCCTTTAACTTGACAAGTACCACCGACCTAGAGATGGTTGCAGACCACCTACACCCCTTCATGACAATGGTATTTCCTGATGGCAGTGCCCTCTTTCAAAAGGATAATGCACCCTGTCACATTGCAAAAAATATACAGGAATGGTTTGAGGAACATGACAAAGAGTTCAAGGTGTTGCTTTGACCTTCTAATTTCCAAGATCTCAATTCAAAGGAGCATGTGTGGGATGTGCTTGAACCACAAATCTGATTCATGAAGGCCCCACCACGCAACTTGCAGGACTATAAGGATCTGCTGCTAAAGTTTTTGTGGAGTCTATGCTTCTCGCATCAGAACAGTTTGGGCAGCACAAGGGGTACCAACATGATATTAGGCAGATGGTTTTAATGTTTTGACTGATGAGTCTAAATTATGATAAGAATAATAATAATATAACACATAATATATGAGAACAAAAAGTCAAAGTAGCTTTTGCATCACTAACATCACTGTCCCCTCTTATGGACAGTATAGATAATAGGATGCGGAATTACCACTAATGTTTGTGCACAGCCAGGAGTTTTCTAGAACTGGAATCAAAATCAAGCAAACCGGGAAGTCGTTTGTTTTAATATAACTGATTACATGACATACTGTCACGGCTCCCGGTGGGTCTGTCGGCGTGGTTGCACATAAAGTAAGCAATCATGCCAACAGAAACAAATATTACTTAACTTGTTTGCGGTAGATCACTGCCTGACCTCCCTCCGGTCCGGTCCCCAGCGGGTGCAATGCTCTTTTTGTAAAATACTTACCATCGCCCACAACAAAGATGGTGCTAAAGTGCATGCGACTTCATGTCATAGACGCGCATGCACGTTTTGGCGTCAGAGGTCGGAGGCAGCCAATTACAGCCAAAGGAGGGTTATTTAAACCCAAATTACCTTTGGTTCAGTGCCCTGTCGTGTTTATCAGAGAGTGTGTTCCTGTTCGTTTTAATTCAGTTTTTTTTACTTTGGCTTAGTTTTGACTTCCCTAAATTCTGGTATCCTTAACTTTTGGACTTTCCTTATCGTTGTGTCTCCTTCTGTGTCCCCGACCTCGGCAAGTATTCTGACTATTCTTAGGTACGTTAAGATCACTCATTCTAAGGTCCGGTGAGACATTACCTTTAATCCTAGGTCTGATATAATTCTGCGTGCTGAATCAACTAGTAATCCTGACACATACATTATGTCAAATTGGAAATACCTATATATAAAAAAAATAACTGCAGTTTTCCTTTAATTGCACTTGATTCCTGATTAAAACTTTTTTTCTGTTCATCTTTTCAGCATCTCTCGGGATGAATCACTATTGATGCTCTGCTCTGCACAATTTGCTGAGAGAGTGGAGTTGTGGATTACCCCAGCTATTTAACTGTCACTACAATTGACATTGAATGTTTGTTGCTAAAGAAGAACGCAGTGGTTCCTTGCAATATGTTCACCATTTCCAAGTAGTGCGGTACAGTGACTCCTGCTTAGATGTTGAAGCTCTCTGGTTGTGTTGTGTTGCCATATTAAAGGTAAAACAGAATCACTTCCAAGTGCATAAAAATGATAAAGGATTATTTAACACATAAAGTCTGGGGATGTGTGACATTTTGTGATTTTGTTTTTACTATTTTGAAATATTTATTATTAATTGTCTCGATTTTTAATACATTATCTACATAATAGCCAGGTGTGCCCATTTAAGATGAATATTAAGATATTTTACCTCAATACCGCCTTGCCTGGTCTTGTAATTTACCCTTTTATCAATTTTAGAGAGGTCACCAATTTAATTAAAAAAAGGTTACCCCATCCAGGTATCACAGCCAGGGCAACTGAGCGTCATAATGAGGCATTCAATGGCCACGGTGATAAAATGCATGACACATTGTAAATCCACACTGCATGTCTGAGCCCAAATTATGATATAGAGAGAATCCTTTCCAGCAAGTTTTTTTTTTTACTACACGTCCCCACCTACAGTAGAGTTTATTACGATTAAGATTCTAA